ATAACATTATGAGGTTGAAAGTATAGTAGGGCATGTTGATGTGTTCTATACATCGGAGTCTCCCTAAGCACTAGCTCGCTGACTAGCGGTCTATCTCAATCGGGACCTTCCCGCTGTTTTTATGGCAGTTGTCTTTAATGCATTTTTTGCTCAATGTGTTTTGGCGTTTATAACTGTTACTGTGACGACATGTTTCGAGCACAACTGTGCTTTAAAAGATCAGGACAATCATTAAAAAAAGAGCAGTGATTCCCGATACGCATTGCTTGAAATGAAACCGTCTTTTTCGAAAGCGGACAATTTTTTTCAAACAAATTGTAAACAAATTGTGTAATGCAATTTAGAAGTACAACACCTTCTGTCAAAAATGCAGCAAAAGAGCCTCGCCCACCTTTTTGGTGGCCTGTTATGCCACAACATGGTTTGGGCTAGCCTTACTGAACCGTCCTGCATTAACACCAATCGAGACCGCAGAAAAAAGCTTTCACTGTCGGGCAACTGTCAGCATTCGGAGCTTGCACAAACAAAATGAAATGAATAGAAGTACATGAAAACTCATTTCCATTCAACGTTTTTAGGTATCTGGTACAGTTGCTTCTTTTTGACCGATGCGAGTGGTTACGGCATGTCGGGTACTGTCTCTCTGTAGATTGTTTCTTGTTTGCGTGCAGGCTTCTCCTTGCAGTTCATCTATACGATGCCGCACAGGCTGTCAGCCAGAATGAAACAACTTCTAGGAAACTATCACTCCTAGAGAAAATCTGTTTACCTCTTACTTCATTGTCGATTAAATGTTATGCACGAGCCAGGGCACTACCAAGCTCCGTTTCCCACCGACGCACTGGATGCCGTTCCGCGGTGCCGCCTCGATCTGATGGTCTCTCAAATTTTCATGTTCTTTGCCCTTGAACTAGATATTTGTTTGTTTCCAAGTTCATTGAGACGTCTAAGCAGCTGAAGTGCTTGATTAGTGGCATTGTTTTTTTTTTTCCCGCGGCTGCAGTGAGACCATTACGTGATTGCAGTAGGTTCACGCGTTCATGAAGACGACAAAGCAGATGACAAAATGAATCAAAAGCGTTAAGACTACTGCAACTGCTTTTCTGCGCTTGTTTACAAACTAAGGTATCGCAAACGACACAAACTTATGAAGTACAGACGTGGCAGGAGAATCCCAGTGGATACTAGGGCCCCCCAAACGAGGATGTACGATGACGTACATGCATCGCGGCCCGATGCAGCCAGGAAGCCGGGGAGCGATGACTGCAAATAGCATGGCGGCGGCACCACTGGCGGAATGTGCCCGCCTGCGCAAGTCACTTGGTGAAATCGGTCTGTCGAGCACACAACAAATGTCTTCTACAGTACCCGTGATTTTTACCTGTGTTTTACCACAAACTGCTTGCCACACTACAATGGTTGAGACTGTGTAGTAGAACTTGACGAGTTCTTTCTCTAGAGCACTGCAATTTGCAGCATTTCTTGCTAATGTAATTTGCTTTTTTTTTTTTTTTTTCAGCTCATTTTGTGTTGAGATATCTGCATATCTTTCTCGTTTTGGTTGTGTTGGCCACAATCATTTTAATTTTCAGAAATTAAATTTGGTGTAATTTATTGTGCTTCTATTTCATACTTAAATGATTGAGGAGAGTGTTTATTGTGCTACATTTTGATATACTGCAGCAAATTTTAGAAGCATACGGTATGTTCTTCAGAAAAAAGAGAAATACAGGGATCCTAAAAAAATGGGCAGTTCTCCCATGGTAAGGTAAAAGTTGAAGCAGTGGAGCATGAGTAAACTAAACTTTTGTACCACATGCAAATTCCTCCGTTAAGCGGTTACAATGGAACATATTTTGTGGACTAGAGTCCGTAGACTATATGCATGTTTGAGTTTATATTCTATGCTGTGTGGACTATCTAAAGCTGTAGACCAGTGGTTCTCAAATGGTGGTCTGCAGACCCTTTGGGGTCTGCGAAGGCATTCTAAGGGGTCTGCGAAGCCTTGCCTTATCAGTGAAGCCCGGCAATAAAAGTTATGTTTATTCAGATTGATAAGAAATGTTCCCATTTTTGGGTGAGTTTTCTCATGTATACTGGACGCCATATTTGTGGGTGCTGTTTAGAGCGCATGCTCGGAACGATCTCACATCAATAGGCTGCTAAGACCTTCACTCTTGATGGTGCGGAATGCAAGTTGCAAAAGAACTGTGGAAGCTCGCCATCAGCACGCGCTCAGCATTCGCGCACACAGCTATGGCCGCCAATGAATACTCCCCATATGTCAATGAGCAAAGTCTATATACTTCACACTAGCCCTTAGTTAACCCATTTATTTAATCAATATTATAACCAACCTATATTTTTGCCTTCCCCTCACTACGAACGGGCTCCTCCATAATCTCCGCCGACCCCAAGGGGTCCGCAAAACGTCAATGGCTGAGTACCACTGGTGTAGATTATACAAGAATTTGTTTTTCAAACTCGTTATCGGTGCAGTTATTGAGGTCATGCTGTTTCACACTGGGCATTAGGGTGGAAAGCTAAGGTGCTCAGTGTGTTGCTTTTGCCCTTTATGCACTGAGGGGTGACGCACAAGGCAGCTGCACCCAGGCGGACTATGTGGATCTTACCGCCGAATTCACAAACCTCTAGTGCCGACCCTCGCACCTTCCTTGAGGAAGTGGAGGGGCGCCTTAATCAAAGTGAGGTTTGTGAATTTGGCGATTAGTGTCACAAACACTGCAAAACTCAGAAATTTTGAGTTTTGCAAAGGTTTTATTTGCACTGCTTCTCTTTTTTAAATTGAAAGCTCATTTGAACATTTGAACGGGTCTGTCTCACAAAATGTAAATCTTCCAAAACTGCAGGGAAGTATGTCACTCATAGCAAGAATGCTACATGCTATAACCCATATAATGGAAATGTCCTTGCACCAAGTGGTTGGCCAAATAATCCTCCGATCCTTTTTACACACCAATCAGAAGGTCCAAGAAGTCACAAAAGCCAGCCAAATCTTGTTGAAGAATGCAAAATTCTGATAGCCAATTTTATCAAATCACTCAACTCCAAGTAAAAGAGTTCCTCAGATAAATCTGAGTGGTAAAACAATTCAATCTCAGTAATTATTTCTACAACTTAGTCTGAAAACCTTCCTTATAACTTTCTATGGTAGGTCGGACATCCAAGATTCGTTAAAATGCAAGAATTAGTGCTGACGACGGGCGTAGTCTGGCTTTTAATGACAAGGGCCACATTTCTTGCTAGAACCCTTTCACACAAAATTCCAAATACATTTGTTTTAGTGCCATCTTTTTCTTGTACAGCTCTGCTTTAAATACCTTTTTGCAATCAGCAGTGCATCTGAACAAGAAATGATGCTGGTCCTACACTTTGCCTGTAAATGTGAATAGCTTATTTTGGTCATTAACTAGCCAAAGTGAACAAATTGTTTTCATGATTCCATTAAACTCTGATGCAGGCTTCTTTCTAAAGAACTCTCTGGTATCTTTGCAGATTGATTATCCCTAAGGCAAATAACTTCTGAGAAAAAAAAAGTCGCAGAAGCAAAGCCTCTTATGATGGTGGTCAAGCAGCTTTCAAGTTTTTTCATATGCACCTTAAAATAAAGATAAAAAAACAAATACCTGTATTTTAGGATGCTTGCATGGAGCCTCATCTCAGCCTTCAAGTACAGTCCTTCATCCTACCCTCATTCTTTGCTGAAATCATTCATGAAAACCCGGTGTGTTTCCTAGGTAATAAACTCATCAGCGCTGTGTGAGTGTATTTTTCTGCGTGTTTGGATTTTGATTAGCTGTCTCTCGGTGCGCTGGTTCGTAATGATGCCTTACCAACTTGCCCAATCTGCAGTATTAACATTAAGGAGCATGACATTCGTGCTACTTCAGTTCAGGGTTTCCCCACTCGGAAGCTTTAGCTTCAAAATTGAACTCAAATATGAGATAGTTCTGAAGGCTCGAAACTGCAACATAGGCCAATAGTTTGTCTTTAGACCGAAAATGAGATTGGCAAAATATGTGGCTAGTGTGACAGGTCAGTTTGCGAGTCCAGATGTTCTTGTCAGCTGTGGCAGATAGTTCTGAAGGCTCGAAACTGCAACATAGGCCAATAGTTTGTCTTTAGACCGAAAATGAGATTGGCAAAATAGGTGCCTAGTGTGACAGGTCAGTTTGCGAGTCCAGATGTTCTTGTCAGCTGTGGCAAACACTGTTCACATCTTGGTTCCGACTCAAGAAGTGATTTTTCACTTCCAGTTTTTACACAATTCCCCAAAACTCGCTTGTTCTTTTATTGTCTAAGCCTAAAACAAAATGGGATGCTAATAGGAGCTGCTCAAAAGCACTGCACCAATCTCAAAGAGCATAAAAATGAAGTGTCCATAATCTTTTTTTCTTTAACGCCATTTTTCGACTCTGAAAGTATTGCAAGAAAGTAAAATAGTCTAAAGGTAGTACAGGAAGTTAGAATGGAATGGACCTTTTCAAGGTGTTTTCTGTGCATGCACAAGCACCTTCCCCACTTTATTTTGGTAGACTGCGCATGCCTTGAAGAAAATGGTGCAGGCAAAATTGCAAGCCCAAGGCACACGAGGTATGATGTTCCCGAGACACTCGGCTCGAGCGCTAGCTTTGGCTTTCTTTCAGGTATGCTGTTTTGAACCTACAAGGTTACAAATTCCTCCAAACTAATATTGCACATCATGCACCAGGTGCCATCTTTACGCATAAATTATACTTCCTTGGGAAGACACTTCCTGCCTTGTCGCGGACTTGTGGCGATGAAAATGTCCAGACAGCCTTACCACTCCTGGTACCCTCTCATCAACTCAGTCTCAAGTCCACAGCATTTCAGTCGCAACAGCTGGCCCGGTCACTCAGCTTTACATACTCCAACACCTGCTCGCTCTGTATATCTTCTCTTCACCCCTCTTAGCCAGGCAGAACGTCGACAAACCCTAACAAAACGGACACGGGAGGTCGTTTGAAACCTGGAAGATTGTTCTTTTAATTCTAATAAATAGGTCACTGGTACACACACACACACGTGGCCGGCCACCGGGAGGCCAGCCGAAATGGGGTTTCATCGCGAGAGATTGCCCGCTTGTGGGTGAGGAAGTGTCTGGGATGGAGTGGCATCAAGCTGTCAGCTGCACAGGGGCAAGGGTGCCACCTTGCCCTGGAGCAGGGGCAGGCAGGGGCTCTTGGCTTCTTTGGCGAGGGCGAGGCACGAGTGGCCCGCATAGTCTGTGGCCTCTGTGCTGGCTCCCTGGGCAACCAGCTGCTTGACTAGGTGCTCCTGCTGTAGCGCGATGGCGTGGTAGAGCGGCGTTCGCCCGCTCCTTCCATCCTGCGTGGAAACGGTGGGCAATGCCGGTTAGGGACAAGCAAGTGGTGGCACAGATGAGGAAACTATAGTTTTGTAATGCAGAGAGGCACAGAATGCGGTCCACACTTGCATTTGCTTACGGCAGTCCTTGCGATCTCTTACGACGAGAGAACCACGCTGGCGCTGCATATAAGGTGGTCCTGCAACTGCATTTCCCAGAGCGAAGGTTTTGAGGTATTTGCGAGGTCAAATGTATGTATCTTCTATGAGAAATGGTCGTTTATAAAATTGTCAAAAGTTTACCAAGCCAAGAAAGAAATAATGACGCGCGAACACATAGGAAACATATGGAATTGCCAAGTTTCCGCAGGTTGTCGATCGATCGTGCTTCTGTGTTCTCTCGTCGTAAGAGGTTTAAATGCGCTCAATTGTAAGCAGTCGCATCTGTGTGTATCGGTCACCTTTACGTGACACATAACATTATCTGCCTTTTTGCGTTCAATGGATTTCATCTCATGTTTTGCGCTTGTTGGCATTATTTCTCTAGAACCAGATGGGAGACTGGGGAAGGTGTGCATAGAACTAGTCGTGGCATTGATGTTTAAGTAGCTGTTCTGTTTATTCATAATCTCGAAAGCTATTTTTGTATTTGATTTTAACCTTTTTTTTAACTTGCTCGCTTTTCCTTGGTCTTTTGTTGGAACATACTATCTTTGCATCAATTGTCCTGCCCCTCTGTGGTAGTGGCACGCAGCTACAGTTCCCCTCCATGTAGGAGAAAAGTATGATACACATGCGTTGCTCGCCTCGACCACGGGGGAGGGAGGGGGGGGGGGGGGGGGGGCAAATTGTTGGCACGGAGATGTGCTCGTATAGGTAACGGAAACCTAAAAACGCATCCTCATTGAGTTTCTTTTTTTACACGTGAAATTACTAGGTGTGTGCGAATATTTGAATATGAATCGAATATTTTCCTTATTCTGAACTTGTTCAATTAAAAAAATTGCATATTTGAAAGTTCCCAAATATTCAGCCAAAGCTGAATATTCGAAAAAAAACGGCAAATATTTGCACAAACTGCAAATATTCGACCAAGTAACGAATAATCTGCCTGCCAGGCATTCCGCTATAAATATGTTTATTCACTGAGGAAGGCATATGATGTGTGCGCTATCGGTCTGCTTCGTTCCTATCTGTCCGATGGCCACAAGACAGGATCAGTTTCGGTTTCTTTTTCACAAAGCCCTTCGTTGTGTGGCACTTTTATAGCAAAATGTGATGTAATTGCACCTTCTATGAATTGATACTATAAAACAAAGCTGGAGAGTGAAATATAAAATAAATCTCGAGAGTTTTATCTAATATAAATGTTTGAAAAATAAAAAGCCAGGTGCGAGCAGAACATTGCATCGCCATCGACAACAACTCCTGCCACTCCCGCGCGGTCAAAACTAGGGACGTCGCGAACCTGCCCAGGTTCGAATTCGACTTTTTCGAACTTTCAACGTGATGTCCAACAAAGGTTCAGCTGAAGTTCAACGTTTGCGTGCATGCGCGAAAATTAAAAAAAAAAAAAAAAACTACTTGACTCCACCTGGTGGAGGAAAACTGCAATATTCGTTGGGTTTATTGGCATCACTGGTTCACATTAATAACCAATGAAAGCGTTAAAAGCGCATATTTCCGCTTTTATATGGTGTAAAGATTGGTAACCATTTTATAAAATATAAAATAAAGTGCTCTGTAAATTATTTGTTTCTCAAAATTCGAAATATTCGTGTAGCAGCCGGGCAACACTCTCCATAAGTCTAACTTCTTCAAACTTTAGTGAAATTTCGTAGGTTTCCCGAGTGAAAGGGTCTTTCTACTGGCGGAAATGTCATGGCGCATGGGGAATTCTTACTTTCTGAACGCGTTGAGCAGTTAATTTTCCTACACTATAATTTGTGATAAGTGCACTACTAGAAGTATCTTTAGCCTGCTGCAGCCCAGTAAAATGCAGTTGCGTTGATTTATTTTTAAAAGGCAATAAAACCTGCTGTTATTTCTTGTTTTGCAATTTTTTTTATTACTCGACAGATATTCGATTTGATATTCGAAGCCCGTTTTTTGTCTTATTCGTATTCGAAAATTTCAATATTTGCACACCCCTTGAAATTACGTTTTAGCCTTACATCTTTCTGGAATTGTTTGATTTAGTGGTTTTCGAGGATGTTCAGCAAATGTCTAATTGAAGCCATGCACTTAAATAATTAAAAAAGTAATTACTCAAAAGTAATGAATGGCTCAATTATATCGAACTCCATGAATTTACCTAAATAGTCCCCTGGGCAGCGACCAAAAAAACATGGACATCTTTTATGCAGTTTTAGCGAAATCAAATTTCCCGGAGTTTCGTGAAACATTTTGTATGTATTCCCTGTTAGACAAGACATGACTCTCCTACATCAGATTTGAGATGACGCTTTGTAAAGTACAAATTTCATTCCTAGCGCCTTTGGATATGTACAGTGAGCTTGTATACTTACAGGAACATTTAGATCACAGTTGGCCTTGACTAAAAGATTGACGACTTCCGGTTTATCCAACAACACTGCTAGGTGCAGAGGGGAGTAACCTGAAAAGAGGAGAAAGAGGAACTATTATTAGATGAACTGATGGTGTTGAAGTTGTCAAATCAACCATCACAGCTTGCGATTTCAGCTGAGAAGTTAGATCACAATGATACTGAAAAATGTGCAAGAAATTTACAGCTTATCCAGACGTAGCCGACGCTAGGAGGTAATGGGCAAGCAGCGTCAAAACGGCAAGTCACGGCCTCTTTCGTTTATGGTTGTACAGAAACGACGAACACCAGGGTCGTTTTGACACTGTCTGAATGATCCCTTCAGCTCGTAGCGTCGGCTAGAAAAACAAATTTAAACAGTTTAAAAATTTGCAATAATTACAACAAAAATTTCAATTTTTTTTTTATTATTATTATTTAGAGCGTCACAGCTTTCAAACGCGCGCGCCAAAATACGCAGAGGCAAGCCTAGGGAAGCCCCGTCCTCTGTCATATCCTTACCTCTCCTCCACCTCGCGACACGCGCGAGAGTGAAAAGTGGAAAGGAGCATTGAGGCGCGCTGGAGAGAGGTAGCCAATGAGAATGCTGCCCTTGGCGCGCGCGTTTGAAACTAAAACAAGTTTAGCGCTGTAAAAAACTTTAAGAAAAAAAAAATGCGGAAAGTTTATTTTGTAATTATTGTAATTTTTCCAGGTTGTTTAAGTTTCTTTACTTTTCAGTGTTGTTTATATATATATATATATATATATATATATATATATATATATATATATATATATATATATATATATATATATACACAGTGAATAAGGAATAGTGAAAACGGCAAAGCAGGACAGGACATCAGGTACTTTCCTCAAACTTCTCTCGGAGCTTTGGAATGCTCGAGAGCTGAATTCTGATATACACAGTTGTGAGGACTAAAAGTATGATGCAGCAGGAAATTGCAATAGTAGTTGTCGGGTGAACCGTCTCTGCCTCGCATGTTTATGGCACCGTGACGTTTGGGGGAACCATTCATTGCAAAAATGTAAACCGTGTTTGCTTGTTTTTTTTTTTTTTTTTTTTTTTTTTTTTGTGCATTGCGGAGGAAATTTTTCTTCGCGCTAGTATTTGAAGGGGGCTTTTTTTTCGGTGGCTTTCGATGCTCTGTTCGTTCGCAGATGAAAACGGTGGTTTAGGCATCATTCACCCGGTACAATTCTGCTTAAGAATTTCAACTGTAACGTCAGTGGCAAAACAAAAAAAAAAGTTGGTAGCTGCGGTGAGTTGTGGTGAGAGAGAGAGAGAGAGCTACCGTGGTCGCGCTCCCTTTTAACTCGGGGGCGGATCCAAGGGGGGGGGGGGGGGGGGGGCGACGGGGGCGGCCGCCCCGCCCCCCCCCCCCCCTTTACCAAGACGACCCCCCCTCCTCCCTCATTCTCGGAGGGAAATTTGACGTGGGTGGACCCGCCGGTGCACAAGAAAGAATGGGAGAATAGTATCCCTACAAATTTTCCAAGAAAAGATAAATAAATAAATAAACGGAGTTCTGGATCCGCCCACAACTGAAATTTGCGAGCGTAATCCCACCATATGAAACAGGCAGGAGGAAAGACACGAAACTGACATTTGTTCCGTTTGAACGTCAAGAGCTTATGCCAAGCACTAGTGAGTTAATAGAAATCAAAATCGAGCCATTGTCTCTTTGAGAACCGCAAACATAAAATAAATACAAACCCGGTTGCCATATGCTTCGTTCGAAATGGCGATAGAAATGTAGGAAATTGGTTAGCAAATACTGCGCTGAAATGACGGTGAAAATATATAGGTATGTGCGAATTCCACGATGGAAATCGGTGAGCGTCACGGCAAACTGAATTATGACGTGAGCGTAGCACACGCATACGACTGCGGTGTGTCGGCACCGATTGCACAGCAAGTGGTCACTCGTGGTCATGCTGCAGTGAGCTGATACAACCCAAGCGTTCCTCACACACAAGGGCGTAGCCGGAGGAAAGGGGGGGGGGGAGTTGGAAACTTTTTTTATATGCTTTCGCTATTTCTCCTTTCTTGCGCACACTATTGAGCCATAAAAGTGGATATTGAACGTATTTCAGCAATAGCTCTCTTTATACAACAAAAAAGATAAAAGAGAGGGTAACTCGGTCTATGGCCTTTATCGTTCACAATGTCACTCTTTTCCTCACATCATCTTCCAAAGAACTGTTCTCATTTGATAAGAGTAATTGTTTTGGTTCTTGAGTCACTCAGTTTTTTTCCAGGCATAACGACAACGGAGTGTCCATTCCCCGGGCGTATTCGTTGACGTTTCCCGCGCGTCACGAACATGTTTCTCGAACCCATTGGATCCCTCCCGGGAAAACTGCGTGGTGAAATCACGCTGTTCTTTTCTCGCTCCGGCGCGACACTGTTCACCTCAAGTTGCACCCCCTTTCACGGTGATTGGTAATAAAAATAAAGAATAGTATTTTTTTTTTACAATTTGTTGCGTTGGTTTTGTAGTGAAGTGTTGTAGAGCAATAACATATTCGATCTTGCGTACGCTTGTCCTCTTTATGTACAGGGTGTCACAAAAAATCTACAGTGTTTTTTGTTTTGTTTTTGCTGCAAAAATAAACTAGACATCGCCGAACGCTCATTTTCCGCCCAAAGGTAGCGCTGGAGGCCACAACCGGATGGCAAAGTATCAGCCCGATCCGATACCTTAGAAGTGATTTTCTGAAAATTTCTGTGGGAAAATGGCGGACGACGGAGTTTTCGAATACATGGGGCCCTATGGCACCAAAAACCGAAAACGGGCGAAAATGGGCTCCATTTTCCTACTGAAATTTTCAGAAAATCACTTATAACTTTTGAATAAGGTATCGGATCGGGCTAAAACTTTGGCATCTAGTTCTCTCCTCTAGCGCTACCTCTGGGCGGAGAATGAGCGTTCGGCAACGCTTAATTTACTTTTGTAAAAAAAAAAAAAAAAAATGGCAATTTTTTTTGTGACGTTTTTTATGTGTAACAGAGAAATATTTTTTATCCTTTTTGTTCTCTTCTTTCGAACCTACCAGAAAAGTGAAAAACCCCTCGATAAAATTTCCTGGCTACAGTACTGATGAGTCACGCCATTTTTTTCCCTGGGCATGGTTTCGCGCGGTGAGACCATTCTGCTGGTACAAGTCCCAGGAGCTGGGGAGTTTTCATAGACCGTAATTCTTCCCCCTCCGCTATGCTCTCAGCAACGGAGACGCTGCAACTCTGCGCGCGCGCCTCTAGCCTTGACTACAGAATTTCGAATCCCGTAGTGGGTTGCCGGTAGCTTTGCGGGACTGCGGAAACGGTGTACGAAAAGTCTCAACCATCAAACCAAACAATAGATTTTTTTTTTTTTTTTTTTTGTGTGTGTGTTTGCGTGACACCTGACCGATGCAGCACGAAAATTAATGGGGAATTTTCCTAGATCGTTTCCGCCATCCCGCAACGTTCTCCGCAACCCGCTACGAGATCCGGGACTCTGCGGACACAGACAAGGCTAGCGCCGCGTATGCGCAGTAGTGGAGTCTTAGCTACGGAGAGCGTTGCGGAGGTGGGAAAAACGGTCTGCAAAAACTCTATAACGTCTGGTTACGCAAACTGGTAACTGTTTGTACGGAACTGGTACCACGCCTTACTGCGTTTCCTGAATATGTGGGAGTGATGTACCGCACGACGTGCCCGAACCAAAAGCGTCGCTGTAGTCGGCCTTCCACGATTGGCCGAAGACTCGCTATGACATTTTAGAAAGGATTCATTCTGCTTTCATCAACGAAAATAAAATAAAAACCGCACGAATTTGCGTTTTGCACGGCAACCGGTTGAGACAGACGTCCGATCTGACATCTTTGTCTTTCAGCCAGCACCACTAGTGAGTGGCACGCCGTGTATAGAGTCTTACCGTCGAAGTCCAGAGCGTCGACGATCCTGGATACGAGCTTGTGCCTGAGCACGAGCTGGAGGCAGGGCAGACTCGGGTACTTGAGCGCCAGGTGCAGGGCCGTGTTCCCGTGACGGTCCCGGAGCAGCACCGAGGCGCCCTCGCGGAGCAGAACTTCCACCGCCGGGAAGTTGCCCACGATCAGGGCTAGGTGCAGCGGGGTCTGCGAGGGGCGGGCAGCGACACGTTGTAGATTGCGTGCAAAAATACGGCGCTTCTCCTTATACAAACCCCCCAAAAGAAACACTGAACCAAGGTGGCAATAGGGAGTTTTTGCAAACTCGGTCACCGGACCCTCGGTTTTATCCGAAAATACAGAAACAATGCCCCATCTCGCAGGTGCCATACTACCAAATGCACGGGCGCATGAGATTAGTTTAGCACACTCCCGGCTATGAAGCCGATCTTTATCGCCTCGCACTCTTGGCTCCGTCGCAGTACGCTCCAGACCATCTCACTGTGTACAAGAGGCAAGAGCCCGCGGCGCGCGAGAAAAACAGTTCAGTTACTCGAGCTTACACTAACATAGAATGTCGCAGCCGTCAATGGTATCTATACGAAGCGGTGCGTAATATTTAGACCCGTTTCGAAGAATAAATGCCCCCTACTGGTGCCCTGAACATTTTGCATTTTGACAGATCTACCGACTCCACGCTGCATGCAAGTCTGAAAAGGTACACGAATTCCAAATTTAAAGTATTTGTGGACTGGCATGTCCGGCGATGCAGCTTGCACTCGCCGCAACAAAATTTCTACGTTCTGCATCATTTTGGGGGCTTTACAGATTTATTTTCTTTTTTGCTTTGCATATTTGTTTAAAAAAAAGGCATAAACGCTACACTAATGCCGTCTGTGCAGGTGAGTTATTCGGCCGGGATGACAAAATATAGGGGGCTAACCACAATTAGTCGGATAATAAATTAAGAAAAAATCGTAAGGGTGCAGGCGAGTTGGTGAATGTTATCCATGTTGAATTAACCTGAGACTGGGGTAGAGAAGAAACATCAAAACGTAGAAGGGAAGAAAATAGACAGGACGTTTCGTCCGATCTATTTATTTTCTTTCCCTTCTACGTTTTGATGTTTCTTCTCTACCCCAGTCTCAGGTTAATTCAACATGGGTAATAAATTAAGGTTTGTTCATTAACTTCTTTATTAGTGAAAATAAACACAATTCCAATTATCTTTGTCATCGTAATTAAAAACCACTAAATCAATTCATTTTTAAAAGATCTGGGGCGTTTGGTGGAGCGCTAAAGTTACCATTCGTACAACGGACGCAAGGCTGCAGGTGAGAAAACGCGTTCGCGCGGTTACTACATTCATCATCCGTCTTTTCGCAGCGACAGTGTTGTGCCTGCTGTACGGTGGTAACGTTAGTGCACAACCGTGCCTCCCATGCGCTCCAAATTTTCCTCAAATTTAGCGATTCGGTGGTTTTTAGCGACGCTCAGCAAGTTTCGGATTGGAAGATAGACGTTTATTTTCACGAATTAAAAAGTTATTCAACGCAGTTTAGTTATTTATCTGACTTATCATGGCGATTAGCCCCTTGTATAGTGTCCCCTGACCGTACACCTAATCTGCACAAACAACATTAGTGTAGCTTTTACTACCTTAAAAAAAGAAAAAGACGTTTATAATCTTTTCCTAAGGTATGCCTCTCCGCACCCTCCCCTCCTCCTCCTATTTAGAGGGAAATTTAGGCTAAATTTTCCCGCTAGGTTTAGCGGGAAAATTAATGCAACGCACGCGGTTACGCCGACGGCGACGCCGCTCAACCCGGAAACGGTCGCCTAAGAGCTGCGCTCTAAAATATCTGTAAAGCCTAGAATATACACCCTGTATTTTTCGGGAATTGACGCTCGATCTCAATGCAGTCTAACCGTGGCTTGAAAGTTTTATTAAAAAATTTGTACTGGGCGCCATACAGGGCGAGAACATGCAGACACCTGTGAACTAGTTGCAAACCGAAACCAGGCGCGCAAAGAGCGGCGCTATCTCGACTGGTTTCGCAGCCCCCGCTTGCGGAGTCGGCGGAGGGACCAACATTACTGGTCTTTTTGTGCGCTTAGTTTCATTTTGAAGCCATGTACACGGGTGACATTCCTCGCCCTGCAGTGTCCACTACAAATGGTTTAATCAATACTTCACGGCACGGCCCAGCGTCAATTCTCCATGTACGCTATGCCCCTAAAAATGAAATTTAAAGTTGGTGGAAATTTCTAAGTTCCTTAGCTAACTAACTAACCGATTTTGCCTCTACTCCAATGGCCGCCAACTTGGCACCAGGGCTAAAGGAAAAAAAAAAAAAAAACTAGTGCGAACGTTCCTTTAAAAAAATATCTGATAGAGAGTTTTGAAATGCGATTTCACACACTCGTGTTTGCCTGCTGACCCCATACAATAACCGGGCACGTGAAGTATGTGACATCCGGCGATTCCTGAGTGTTTACGTCAAGTATTCCTACTTCTGGCATGTGACATCCGACAGACCCAACAGTCCGCTTCTTGCCACGTGTGAGAACATGGGTTGATGCTGAAATCTGCTCTACCCATCATTTTCGTTTTGCCTTCTTTGTTCTGCTTGTCGGCGGAAACCGGGATCGTTCACCGTGACCGCTGCCAGTCCGGGGGAGGTCAACAGTCGCGGTTCGTGGGGAAGGCCCCATTGTCGGAGGGCGTGGGGGGAAAAGGAAAGAGGGGCGAGAGGCTGCCCTGCCTGCTGTGCTCGCCCCGCATGCTTGTCGGCCCCGCGCTGCTTATTTCGATCGCCGACGACGAGGAAAAACCCCGCAGTTCCGCCGGCTGCCTCTTTACCAAATGGGGAGGCCCGTGGAACTAGCCCCTCTCTTGACGCCGCTGCTGCATGCTGTCGCTTCGCACTTTGTTTGGAAAGACCCTATTCTTCGGAAGAGCACCATACGCTGCTGTTTCTGACTTTTTGTCTTTGTTTTTTCTATATTTTTATTTAGTTGCTTTTTGTCCGCCGTGTGTAACTTGTTACGTCTCCGGGGAAATCCACGAGAAGTTCATGTGTCAGCGAGATAAGCGCGAGCCATCGTTCATAAAAGTGGTTGCTTAGTTGGCTATTTTTGTTGCTCGTAATTTTTACTCGGGGGGGGGGGGGGGGGGGGGGGGGAGGGAGGGAGGGAGGGGAGGGGAGGGGGGAATAACGCGTCCAGGTGATTTTTTGGTCACGTCCTTGGTAGTAGCGACCGGCAGTTCAACGACAAAACACCCGAGAGTGGTTAGGGGACCGCTTATGTTTCGCTCATTAACCTTGCCGAGTGCTGAACCAGACGGGACTGCGCGGTCATCACACCTCTTTAAGAACTACGTGGACCTCGAATTGTGCTCGTGTCACCAGCTGCGCTATGGTTGGCATGGCTTCGAAGAAGGACTGCACCCAATTACTGAAAAGAGCCTAGGCTAATTAGTCGCATCCTACTCCCGCAGCCTGCTTGGTGATTGAAACGTAATGCGTGGTCAGAAGGAAGCATGGACAGATGGCAATTGACCAACCTGCCTTTTTTTTTTTTCTTTTTTTTTTTTGGGGGGGGGGGGGGGGGGGGGAGGGAAGGTTTTGTTTGGAGGGACAGAAGTAAAGGGGCACCAGAGCCGTGCCACAGACCTGGCTTGAAATTGTGCTTACCTGTCTGAGGCCATTGAAGACGTCGACGCTGGCTCCCGCTGCTTTTGTGAGACGACAGAGACGTTGCACCAGCAAGACGTCGTGATGCAGAACGGCGATGTGGAGCGGCCTGCCAAGAAAAAACAACGACACACCTGATACGGACAGTTGCAAATTACGCCACCCCAATTATAAGTCCTTGTTTTAGTCGAACGAATTTTGTTGTTATCTGACTCGAAGGCATTCCGTTTTCATAACGTCAGTAGCAATGCGTGCAGTATACTTCTCATGAGTTCATGTGTCATTTTTTTTGTCGGTTTTGTTAGATGAACATTATGAAATGTATGACCGGGGTTGCATGTGCCGAATTGCAAGAAGACCCTCATGAGGGTAGGTACGACGTAGAGAATAAAAACGCCAAAAAACACGGAGGCCAAGTAGAAGGACGACGTACACCACTTTTCGTACGACACTTTGGCTTATTAGCTCGTGCTGTACTGCAGTCTAATTGGTTTTGTGCAAACAAAAACGAAAGGTTGTTGATTTCGGAATTCTAATGTGCGTATCTGTCCTTTTATAAGACGATTGCTGTAAATTACCACAATCAGAGAGACAGGGTGTAGCTAATTTGGCGATATTCATCACATCGCGGCCTGTACCCGTTTGGTTTTCTGCTGTTGCTGAAATCTCATGCCCAGTGATAATCTGATAATTGGGCCTAACGCTACCATTCTACGGGAGAGGTGCCCACTTTTAAAAAAGGGGGTCAGACCACGCAATCAATTCCTATCTTGCATCACCACAAGTTTCTGCCCATTCCTCAAGGCATATAGATGCTGGATTTCGGAACAGGAGCCTACTTTTTTTTTCTGTTTCTTTTGTTTTAAAGTATGATTCGCAGAAGTTTGCCTGATCAAATTCATGAGAAAAATTCACCATTTTTCTGGCGTCACAGCGGGACGCGTACAGTTGTTTCCTCGCGGAGTAAAACCATGGAACGAATCCGTGGAACCTGATTGGCCTGTTTTCAAACACGTCACAAATGCGCGACTGCAAACAACCTCCACGTTTAGGTTGTAGAGCGTGGAGGGAGGGTCTGGAGGCTCGAATAAACATGCGCCTCTAGTTGCTCGTAATTTAGCATTGCCTAACTTATTAATTGTTAGGTCGATTGTGTTTGGCCTTTGCCACTAGGCAGTGCTTTACCAGAAAAGGGCATGACACACCAGCCCTTTTCTGTCTGGGCGGAGCTTCGCTTTTTGTGGGCGGAGCTTCTCCTGCGGATCGACCTCTTGCTTAATATTCAATGAAAGCTTCGAAGTCGCGCACGAGCGAAAAGATGCCGAACGGGCTTGGATTCATTCCTAAAGTGGAAATGAGTACACGCTATCTTCTGACGAAACTACCGAGCGTCTCACATGAACTACAACGAGGTCGCATATAGGCTGAAACAGACATTGCGTAGCGTTGCTCAAAGGCTCGCCAAGGGGCTGCGCTCCACTCCGGCCACCCTGAACAACGGCCGGGAGCGGCACTGCGGGGAAGCCCTCCTCCGCTTAGACCCCGTTTTTGTTTCGCCTGTTCCGAGTCCATGCACTGCGGTGTGGTTTCTTTGCCGGGGGAAGGACCACCGCACCACGAGGCTTGTCAAGCGAGACAGCCTGGGTTTTCTTGGGTGCGCGAGGCCTTTCTGCGCTATGTTTGCGCATTTGATTATAGTCACTGGCGGTTTTTGAAACGTCAGATTGCTCTTATTCTCGGAAGCGCTTATAGTGTTAGGGAGCAGGAGTAATAATTATCTTCGGGGAAGTTTGCGAAAAGCCCCCTGGACTGTTCTCGACGCCATGGAGACGGCGACAAGGCACACGAAAAGGGGGCGTGTTTCGGCGAGTTGTGGTATCGCGTCTCTTGTCTACCTTAAAACGGATTAGAAGACTGCGTCAACTTCTACTAAGCTGTGTTACAAGTCGACAAAGCCTTAAATTGCTGGTGTTGTCGTTGTTTTTCTCCGGATACATACTTCTGATACGACGATTAATTGAGCCACTTGGTAATAGTTACAAATTACAAACAGCGCCATCGCCACCCCGCGACTGACCCAACTTGTGTTCTGCATGAGAGAGAGGGAGAGAGAGAGCTCTCGATAGTGACGGTCCAAACAAATTTCCCACGGAATGACGGCGACCTTTAGACAGCGCACCCGCCTACAGAAACCCCCACGCACTAAACGACTCATCGGGGCAAACTGATAAGCGAAGGGTTGTTCGCCCGCTTCCCAGGCGAATGATGGAAGAGCGACTGGTTCTCTGAAGACGTCCTTCTGCGAGCATCCCGACAAGCGGAACCCCGAGGACGCCCGAAGGCTCGGAGCATCGTCCATCAACAAGGGTCTCGTCCTCCGCTCAAAAGCCGCGACCCAGTCGGCCGGTCGCAGGGGCCTCATAAACTAACACCACCTAGAAGACAAGGTCTCCGCATGACGTCATCGCTAGTGGATCCTCGACCTGTCCCAAGTGGCAAACCAGACCGCAAAACGGCAGACGCGCACGTTTCGTGTCGTTGCGTGATAGCGTCACGCTCGTCGTGAGAAACTGGGAGACGCTCTGGTGGTGACGCAGACGCAAGGTAGACGGCGCTGCGTGGGCCCACTAGTGATGACGTCTATGGGGGGAAAGGTGCCGGCCTTGTTTTCTAGGCGGTACTGCATAAACCCGTCTCGTCCGCTGAGTCGCCGCTTCACGGCCGGCACTCCAGGTAGCCACTGCGGGAAAATCCCGCGCGGGGCCATCTGGCCGACTCGGCGGAAACACGGTCGGTACTCGAGCAGCTGCTGATGAGCTTCGTGATCGCCGTGCGTCTTGTGTGCTGGGCAGAAGGCTCGAGAGGACAAGGCCGGCACCGGATGTGTGTCCGGGGCGTGTTTATGCAGGATTCATTCCAGACGCATTTGCGAAGGACTGGTCTTTTTGTGTGCGTGTGTGTACGTTGCCGCTGCTGAGTACCTCTCGTTGGAGACGTCCAGGAAAGTTGGAAGCGGAAACCCCTCTCGACTGGCGTCACGGCGGAGCTTTAAAACGTGACACGATAAGAATAAAAGGTTCCCGTGTGTGAGCGACGTAGCGCAGCTTGGTTTCGCTACATTGATCATCTCCGACTCTGAGCAACGTTTTTGCGTCCACCTCGCGTGTCGCGGCTTGCCTATCTTTCTTTTTTTCCTCCGACAGGGGCGCTGCGGAGTGAATCAAACGTCGCTGGGGGTTCGGTCAGGATGTTTCGAAGTTTCGATCGCATCGAGATTCCGAGAAAGTGGCCGGAGAACGTTCCAACTTCCTCCCTTGCCTGCCTCCAAGCTTATACTGCACCTCTTCCTGCCGGGGAAGACGGACCACGCGAAAGGGCATGAGTAACGTGCGCTGATCATCTCCTCGCGTGACATGGTGTTTTCGCAATCAACGATGAATAATTTGGTTCGTGCCACGCTCGGGGTCTTGTCCGAGATGATTACTGGTTCGTAACAACCGTAACGGCACCATTTACGGTTTGCGGTTCAGACGGAACGGTTGAACGTATACAAACAGTTACTAGTTTGCAAGTGTAACACCGGTCCGCTTTCTGAAAGCTTTTGGGTTGCTCACGAAGCACGTAGAGGGAAGGGGAGGTCAAGGGAGTTGGAAAGTAACGAAATGATTAGTGAAGCATTTTGTAAAAGAGCAAGATGGTGGTGTGTCGTGCCCAGGCTAACGGTGTCGCGCTGTGTACCTCGTTTTTTTGTTCTGCTGCACACAAAGACACTGGCTAATGGAATTTTGAAAACAACCCAGCCGTCAGCGCGTCGAGGCTTCTGGGGAGCGTCGCCCCTACGCCGGCATCGGCGTAGGGGCGACGCTGCCCAGAAGCCTTTTCTTAGTTGCGACGCGTAGTTTTCGCAACATCGAATTTGTCCACCTTTCGTGAAACACACCATATATGATGTAGGTATGCGAAACAATACAGCCCATTCGACGCCACCAATGCAATTTTCAATAAACGAAAGTGATCGCTGCAAGTTAGACCCTGGTAAGAGAAATTTGTCTCCCTGGTAGTCATTTGTGCGCCGAACTGGAACCTTGCACTCGGCACGCATGGCTTGGCGGAAGGGAGGGGGTGCACCAACAAGTCAGTTTGCTGAGAGGTGGGTGAAAGGTGGTCACGAATCGACCCTATTCTTCGGAATACCAAACCGAGCAAGTCCGCTTAAAAGCGCACAGCTGCTTCAGGTAGATGTGATCGCCAAGGCAAGTCGCACGCTCACCGAGTCCGTGTACATGGGATTTTGGTGCCTCGAAAGGCAAAATGTGAAACCGGCTTTTGGACACTCGCTGCCGTGTGCTTGACTGGATCTGCGGATAGGTTGAGCAGGCGTCAAGTTGAGTACCAGGTAAGTCCATTAATGTGTGTGTGTGTGTGTGTGTGTGTGTGTTTTTGTGTGTGTGTGTGTGTGTGTGTGTGTGTGTGTGTGTGTGTGTGTGTGTGTGTGTGTGTGTGTGTGTGTGTGTGTGTGTGTGTGTGTGTGTGTGCATGAAACGCAAGCCATACGCAGCTCTGATTGATTTCTCATTTTGTCTCAACTGAGAAAAACGGCGCATGCACCCGGCAAAGTGGTTTTACATGTAGCCTATTTAGGGACGTAAGTGGTGACACTTAATGCTGGTGCATCCTAAAATGCTTTACAGCGAGCTGAAAAATATTCGCTGATGAATATATAAAATAGACCCTTTCATTTCGCGTATACATATTTTAACCGCTAAATCTCTCTTTCTATCCTGCAGGAACAATAACGGACTCGGGAAGGGTTTTACGACTTTATATGGCGGGTTGTGCATGATGCGCGGACAATTAGTTCTTTCTTTTTTTCTTTTTTACAAAGTTTTGTGTCGCAAACCGGAACAAGTGAAAACCAAGCCGCCGCGCAATTTTCCGTGAAATCACGCCATTATATACGCAACCACTTTTTTTTTTTTTTTTTTTTTCTGTATGCGTTGTTTGCTGCTTCGCAGCCTAGAATTACGAATGCGCTGCGGTATGCACCTCGGAGGGGAATGTTGTTGAGCGTCCCCACCAGGAAACCGGACCAGGCACCGACGAGGTCACGATGGTTGAGCGCCTGATAACGTCTGTTTGCTCGGGTTACTCGGCATTCTCGGAAAGGAAAATATAGCATGCAGGACGGGGCGGCTTCCCCGGCCGAAGCGCGCGGATGATGCCCTTCGACACGGTCCCCAACTGGTTTCTGAGCGCGAGAGACCCATTTTCGAGCGGAGGAGCGCGCCGGTAAAACACCGCCACCGTGTCCTGACTGGGTAGGCCGTCGAGAGGACTCGTCGAGACGTGGGACGGTCGTTTTCTGCTGCGGACAGATTGTCGACTTCTGTTTAACGCTCGGTATGTTCTTCGTGAGCACGAGTCACGAGAGAATAAATAGAGAGTTTGAGGCGATCATTCTGATGCCTCAGATAACGATACGGCCGACGCTTTTGGGCATGCATCTCATCGTTATCGGGTATCGTCCTCGGAGATGTCAAGACAGTCTACTAAACATCTCTAACTATGCATAGATCGCGCGAATCGGAGCTCGCCCTGCGTATCTTGAGGATTCGCCTCTTCTTTTCGGATTACTGGACGCACCTGCATCGCGCATATCGAACGTTCGCTCACTCATAAAGTCGCCAACTTGTTTCAACAGTTCAAGGTGAGGAGTGCCGTGAATGTCCGAGAAAAGCGATGGAATCTATTTTGGCAATCCGTAAAACTATCAGATCGTTCCCTTGTTGCGCACTGGAGGTACATGCTCTCCGCGACAGTGACAATCCTTCATAGTCTTCGTTTGCTTTCGAGGATAGGTGTATGCAGTAATGAACCTTTGCGCACTTATCGTGCTATTATGTGCCGATTTAGCCGCTGGAAACCTAAAGACGAATGCCTCGTATAGTCATTGAGAGCTGAAAAATGGCAGGGCTGGGCGACTCTTGGGCATCTCATATCATCGCTGCGCAGCCAATGAGATTGCTGCATTGGCCAATAAAAAAGCCGAAGAGCCAATCACGAAGCAGGAAGCTGTGGGTGACTGGTCCTTTCCGGGCTAGCCAAAGGCACCATGCTCCGCTCGATTGTGACGACTACTGAACGGGCGCTTTCGTCTTCCAGCGTATACCGTCCCGGATCCAACTTTACGAGGCACTGCTTCCTTCTACTCATTTTAATATTCTAGTGTGTATAACGTAAGCGTCGAGATGAACCCCCAGATAACAAACGAAATATGCGCGCGCGCAACCGTCTTGAAGGTGTCTCATTCATGGTTTGGCCGTGTCATCCGGTTAGCTAGCATACCTGCTATTACGAATCAGCGCCAGGTAACGTTGGCAAGCTTCCAGGTAGGTGCTCCCTCGACTAACGTCGACGGGGAACGAGAGATTTGGATGCAAATTTTTCCTGTTAACCACTATCAAACACGGATGACACGCTCAGAATACTAACGGCGTAAGATGCTCCAACGTGTCTTTGTGACCCTCTGACAGTTTTTTCGCAACCTAACCTTACCAAACGAGTAGGCATCCTCGCTTGAAGTCGCAGCCGTCTTTACTAAGTTCTGTGTCGTTCGAGAACTGGGGCAAGGTCGAATTCTTTTTATGGGTGACATATATCTGAGGATCTTCATACCTTTCAACCAGGCAACCCACTTACGAACAAGATACTTTTGCTTTTGAGGCATTATACATGCGCGTGATATGAACATTCTAAATGGACCGGCGTTACACCATGCTGCACGACGGCGTTCCTATTTTCGATTCACGTGTTCTGCGGTCACTCGAAAGTTACAAACGTGGTTCTGGAGTTAGTATGCGGATATGGCTTGTACGGGACTACATCGCACTCGTTGTGGTGGTTGTTTGTTCCTGCCGATAGAAGCAGATTCGGTGACGGAAAAGGTGCGCTGAAGGAGGTATGAGCGCTCAGCAGCAAGGCCACCAGAATGACCGCTGATGTGGCATCAAATCTTGCCATGCATATCCCAAAGCCTGAGCCAAAATGTGAAGAAGCGCAGTCGTCATGTCCACGTCAATTGTATCGCTCAGTCTACCCTTGCCCAATTTAAGGACGAACACAACCGACCTGACTTCGAACCCTTGCAGCGTCCACTGGTACAGCGATTAAACGCGGCCAGTGCCATGGATTTTTCGGGAATTGGTTGTGCGCACAGATGCCTATGTTGGCGCTCATCGCCAGCGAGTGAAACGATGTAATGTCATCGGACGCCCATACAACGCTGCACAGTGAAGGCCACGTGTTAAGAATCTTCAATGTCGTGGCGGTTAGAGCACGAATCGGCGGAGCGGGCGCCTCAGAACTGGGGTTTGATGCCTAATTCATCTCGCTTCTATTTTTATGCTCGTAAAAAAAACGTGAAAACCGCAAAAAAAAAAAATATATATATATATATATATATTGTTTACACTGACTGTAGACTAAATCCTCCGCCAGTTTTGACTTGAAGTTGCAATATGCTGGCTCCCGGTGAAAAGCGATTATCATTCAGATCACCCAATAAACTGAACTTCCTTCGGGTAGCGACCGAACAGGACCTGAGATGAAACGTCATACTGTATAAACACAGCCAAACGAGTATTGACCGGCGTACGCTCCCTGCAAACATATTTGTCGTGAGGAAATAGCTGAACGTACGAATATTTACGCCATGCGTGTACGAAAAAATAAAATTCCAAGATACTTTTCTTTTCTTTCTTTCTTTTTTCTCACTTTTCCGTCATTATACGATTTTGAGAGACTTTTCTCAGACGTAACACGATGTCTTTCTGCAGTGTCCTCTAGCGATGCGAAACCTTCGAGGAGAAATGCCGCAAGACGGGCAGCTGTGTCGGGCGACGAAGCCACGTACGTCGGTGCGATGCAGGGAAACCCGTCAGCACAATAATTAGACCTTCGGCGATTCGCGCGGCGGCACGGCAAACGCAGCGCGAATCATCGAGATTTCTGGGGAAGACCCCGGGAAGGGCAGCCAGAGGGTTGCGAAAGGCCGCGACGTCGCCGCAAGGCCGACCGCGCCGCTGCTTGCGTGAACGATGGAAAAGGAAGCCACGTGCGTGCGCGGCGTTTTACGCCAGCACGACGACGGACGGCGGCGCAGTTGCCTCCGAGAATGCGTGTCGCCTCGTTTCTCTCGCTCGCTCCTCTCGACCTGCAAGGGCGGTTGCTTTGCTGTCCCTTTCAAAAAGATATCTCGGGGTTGGAACGCGGGGTCTCATACTGGGGGGGTGCTCTGAATTTGTTCCAACTTTACGGGGTGCACGTGCGTAGGGAAAACGTATCCAACGGTGACCCATTTTGCAACGCGTTTGGGGAAGCGGTGCATAATTAATCACAATGTCTGCAATGTTGTCCGAGGTGATTGATGGTGAGCTTGATAAATTGCTAAACGTTCGCAAGCAAAAAAACAAAAAAAAAAGAAGAAAAAATTTAAGGGCAAAAAAGATTGGCACATAACTGATTATTTAAAATTATTGCATAGCTGAGAGAGGAGTGTTTAAAAGTCATTTTCAGAAATTTTTGGAGTGTTGGTGAAGTTAGAAAGTAATTGTTGCTTTACAATCTACACAATTACGAAAAAAAACAAACATGTATGTGAAATGCAAAAATATGTAAGCAATGCGAGTACCCTGAGCAAGGTTCAAGAGGATTCTGACACCCAAGCGTTTTCTTGGCAAAGCCACTTTGCGCGTTGTCGGAGGACTGCGCTACCAAATAGAGTGCATTTCAGCCTGAGACTCGATTAGAGTTGCGGAGTGTTTCTAAAACCAGCCGTACAACTTGAAGGCACAGCCTCCCGAGGGGTCATGCTGGCTGCTAGGTTGTCGGTCTAGTTATTGAGCGCATATCGGACACGTATTCTAAGGCTACAAGGACCATGCAGTCAGCAACTCCTCAGCTCGCGTATGCAGCGATATATGCACGCGCTGTTCATCGACACGCTGAGCGGTTAAATATGATCCTAACTTATTAGCACGCATCATGCCTGCACTAACTGCGCAACAAAATAAAGACTGATTAAACTAACATCGTGAGCAAAGTATGCACAAGTCTGATGACCCAGACGCGGGCCATGAAGAAGCCGCGCATTGGTGCAAGTCGAGACGGTGGCTAAGCGTCTAGGAGCGTTCGGGTTTGCAAAGAGTGGGTCGCACACTGACCTGTCTCCGTCGGCGTCGGACAGGAGGGCGTACTGGAGCTCGAGGGTTCTGCGGTGCTCCTGGCGGGCGCATCGGCGAGCCCTCTTGAGTAGAAGCGCCTGCTGCAGGGCACCCTGACGAAGCAGCAGCGGTGCGCGGTCCGTACGATGCTGCGCGCTCAGGAGCATCGCGTCGCTCTGCTCGGCACAACTGCTGCTTCCGGATGAGTAGTCCGACGTGGCCGACTCCTCGGAACTCTGCGAGTCCCTGGTCCTGGCTGGCTCGTCGCACACCACTCCGCTGTCGGCCGCGGACTGCCCGCTTCTGTTGCGGGACCGCTTGCGCTTCTCGCGGACACCTTCGCCTGTCGTCGAGGGAACTTCGCTACCGGGAAAAACCTCGGGGGCACGACCGATTTCCCGCTCCGGCTGGGGTGCCGGAGACGCGCGGTGGCCCTCTTCGCACCCACTATCCGGCGCTGCTGTCGGCATGGCGAGCATCTCGTGCAGTTCAGCAGGTGGCCTCCATGGCAGACTGCGCGGCGCTGACTGACAGGCCCGTGGCGCTCGCGCGCACTCAAAAACGGGGTTCGTTTGGCGCGGTTCAGGAGGAGGAATATCGGATGGGATGCGTCGCGCTCGCCGCACAAGTCGGCGCGGTGGAGAGGGAAGCCCCTAGAATGCGGCCTGACGTCGCGCGCGCCGCGGCCGGGAAAACCCACCGCGGATGGGACGGGCGCTAGCGCTCTCGGTACTTCGGCCCGCCCCTCATCGCGGGCCGTCTTGGCTTTTTCACTCCGAGCTCACGGTCTCTCACGCGGCGCGGACAATGGGGCCCTCCTTTCTTTCTCACGGTCACGGTCAGTTGCGCAACCGTCCGGGACCGTACGCGGGCCGCTGCTAGCCCCGAAAGGGATGGACGATGCGGCGGAGGTGCCCCCCCCCCCCCCCCTTTTTCTTTTTTTTTTTCCTGCGCCTTTCCGGCCTGGACCGGTTAAAGACCGGACGTTCCGATGACCCACTTGTGGCTGTACTTCGTTCTGGGGGTCGCTGGTTGTTATTCTCCTTTCTCGCCAAGGGCCGCGACGACAGCGCGACTTTAGGTGCGCCGATGGCGGAACGCGTGGTGCCGGAGGCGCGATTAATTTTGAAAGTCAAGGTTGCCGACTCGTGCGACTGCGCCGCAGCGTTGCGGCAGCGGCGTCTTGAACGGCGGCGAAGGTCGCCACTCGGTCAGGGCCGTGCGCGAGAAGTTTCCTCGATGGCCTCACGCCGACACTACCGGGACTCAGGCTGCGCGTGCGGATGAGAGTTCGGTTTCGAGTCGTTCGAAATCGACGACCTCATCTGCCCTGTAATTTTTTTGACTTTGCATGCTTTCCAAACGGCAGTTACGAAGGATTATAAACCTCTGCATTTCCGGGAAGGATAAAAATCTGTACAATCTTTAATATGATTGATGTTATTAAAATCAGGCCATTACGCGAGGGACAGGAATGTGAAACTTCAAATTGAATACGCATTTTAAATTATCACCGAACTGGAGGACGTTCTCCTGACCTCCACTCTAACCGAGGGAGTACTAAACAAAGCGAAAGAAAGAGCGGCCAGATAACTCATTCATGAATCGCCGTTAATCGTTAAACAACTTCAGCGGTTTCTGCCAACTGCTTCATAAGGCAGACTGTTGTGTGGTGAACCTATTATTGAAAGGCATCTCATGCACTCTAAGAAATGTTTGCGCGTCTATTTGCCCGCAAAACAATCATAGAGCCAGTCATCGCGATCTAGGAAATCAGCTCAGAGAATGATGAGGCGGAACATCCGTTTAGACCCAAAGAGAAGTCCGCGCTATGACATTACGCAATGCAAAGCGTCGTACTTGCATTGCGTAATGCCACAGCGCAGACTTAATTTCTAGGTCTAAACGAGTGTTCCGCCTCAATCATTCGCTGAACTGATTTCGTAGAACGCAATGATTGGCTCTTTGAGTGTTTTGTGGGTAAGTAGACGTGCAGGCATTTCTTAGAGAGCAGTTTGCCCTTTTCCCAAGATATCCAGCGCGAATCTCTCCTGTGCTCCAGTCAACTTCGACTGCGTTTTTCCTCGAAATATTTGAGGATCATTGTGGCGCTTCTAAGGGTCACGGATAACTAAAAGCAATAAACATCATTTTACGCGACGTTACTGACAGTGTACCAGAAGCCTCTATTGATTGGTGTTCGTTTCATGATCGTCATCAGAACAATGGCACCGTAAGCGGCATTTCGTTTGCGACACTCGCTGTTGCTTTGACTATATTTTGGCGATCAGTCTTCAATATAACTAATAATTAAGCTATCAATCAATTAACAAATCAACCACCAATTAAGCTACTATCTAAAAAGTTCAACACGGCAGAGAGTTGGGCGAGTTGGTTAAGCATCTTAATAGCGCTGTGTCTGTGCACTTCTTCTACTCGTCCTTCGTCGGTTTTTCCTGCGCTGTTCCCAGCTATTAATATCTAAAAAGTCCAGCATATTTGTTCCCACCGTAGAGCTCGGCAAATGGCGAGGCAGAGAGCATGCTCAGAGCTAAAAAGAGACGGCTGCGGTGTGACACTAATCATGACGCAGGCACGTGAAACTTCATGCTAAATATCCTAACATAGGTTCTTTTTTTTTTTTTTTTTTTTTTAGGTGTAAACATTTTTGGCGATTAGTTCCCCCAATTACTTTTCGAAGAAAGTAAATGCTCCAGATTTCTTAAAGTGTATGTTATATTGTGGCAGAGACGATGATATCACTATCAGAAAGAAAAGAAACATCATGAATAGTTCTTGGTTCGCTTTGGAAGATCGCGATCCATGGACGATTCGAGGTTGCGTGCTAGGGTATCTGTTTTTCTAACGTGCGACTACTTTTAATTTTTCATTATATTTTAAGAAATAATTGAGAGTATCAAGAGTTCTGTATTTCAGAAATGCCATGCACACATACTTTCCGCAGTGCCCAGCAATACCATCGGAGCGCTAATCACAGATCTTTCTTCGATCAGCTCAGCTAGAGAAGAGGACGACGTACATCACAATAAACTGACGTATGAGGTCTGAGAGGAAAAGGGGATGGGTGCCTTTTTGGCCGCCGAGCGAGGTATATCGCTAAACCTTATCATTAGCCGAGCTGGTTGATGGAAGATCACTGATTGCCGCTTCAAGTGCGGTGGGGCCAAGATACGTGCGGGCCTTTTTGAGAGTGCGCAGCGGCAGCGTGGGAGCCGTCGGGCTTCTTGTCTGACTCAGGTAGCGCAGCGTATACTTCTACCAAGCTGGACTTCCCAGACCGCACTCTAAGGAATTCTCATATTCCGCCAATAAAAGCTTTTCCCTCTCTCTCTCCCAGCCCGGGATAGGCCTATTGACGAATACTCTGTTTACAAACAAGCCGCGTTTGCACAAAGCGGGTGGGGGTACTGTGCGCGTGCAGAAACCAGATTCGCCCGAGGCGAGGCATCTGTGCATGCGCAGTGCCAACGCAATGACGACGAGTGCCATGACGATTTATTTTTTGCGCAACCCGACTGGCCCATCGGGTCGTAGCCTCGGCTGCGGTTCAACTTAGCATGAATCGCGGTATACTAAACCGATCAATGAATATATTGTGGGCCAGCACCGGTCGACCTGTGCACATTGCAAGAATTAACCTTGAAAAAGTTTGTAATGGAACCTGCAATGGACGAGAATACTTTTGTGGCTTGCCAACGCGGCGCCTCCACACTAAGAAAGTTGGTGTGTCTACTTTTCCACAAAGCACTTGGTAGGACCAATCGCTGCAGTCTAAAGAGGTAGTTCGGCGAATGACAAGCACAAAAAAACGTTCACACTTAAATAAAAATAAAAAAAAAACAGTTTAAACTATGGCATTGAGCTAACGTAGGCACGTAAAACGTCTTACTCATGTCACAGTCTAGATTTTTTTTTTGTTTTTTAGGCCTACAGAGATGTTTAGCCTCGTTATTCGCGTAACTCTCTTCGTGATTGTAGCGATTGACTCACAATTGCTTTGCAGGAAAGCAGACGCACCATATATATATATATATATATATATATATATATATATATATATATATATATATATATATATATATATATATATATATATATATATATATATATATATATACACATTTTCCCGGTTCATCGTTCTCAAACTACTCTGCAAAACACACACACACACACACACACACACACACACACACACACACACACACACACACACACACACACACACACACACACACACACACACACACACACACATATATATATATATATACTTCGTTTGAGCAAAGCTTAGCAAAAGACGAAAGCTGCGTTTCACGTGACCCAACGAGTGTGTCGGCGCGAAGGTGGTGACTAGCCGTACCGTCGAAATGTATCTCCCGTGGAAAGCCGTCTCGTGGTCCTCTCCGTCGCTCTGACTTGCCCACGTGGGTGGCAGTGATCGCCCTTCGCCGCGTTATTCTGAGCAGGTAGTCACCCTCGAGAGATGGCGGAACTCCTCGTCGGCACGCTTCCCACGTGGGCGTCCTTGATAGGTGGTATTTTAGTTGTTGCCCAATCATGCCGCCCCAGACGCGTCCGATGTCCTAAAGATACTGGAAAGTATACTGTCTGCGCTTGTCCACACAGCGTCGGCACTCACAAGCAACGGCAGGAATGTTTGGGTGAAAGGAGGAACTCTCAATATTGTATTTTTGTTTTCTAAAAAAAAGAAAATCGCAGTTTTAGCAAAACAAACACCATGCCGTAACGCGTAAAACCGGTTCTTCCGTCATTCTCATGGCTCGGTGGGTTTCGTCGCGTCCCCTTACAAAAGCTACTTCTTTTTTTCCCCTTTTTTTTCCTACGTGAGTTTATTATGGTACCGACTCCGAGGGCCCAGCAGCAGCATCATCATCCCATGGGCCGACTTGTTGAGCCAAACTCCTTTGTACGAAGAAGAGCGAGCCATCCGGTTTCGCGGTTGGTGACCCCGGTAGCGTGTGTATAGTCGTTAGCCGGGGGTAGAAACGCAGACACCGGAGAAGGGCAATGGACCCGGCATTCTTCTTTTTCGTTCGGTTACGCGAGCTGGACATAGACCACTCCCTCGTGGGCAGTCTTCTTCCGCGACTCTACAGCAAGGTCCGGTTCTCTCTCAACGAAACGTACGAGCAGCGCACCAGATCTAAAACCGCGGTCGCATCACTTGCAAACATCGTACAAAAGGCAGTCTGCAGGCAGTTCTGCGGTGTGTTTCTGCCTTGTATAACGGTCACACTGGTCGTACAAAAACTGTTTGCAGACATGTTCGAAGCATGTCTAGGGCAAACATGTTTCGAACATGTTGAGGCGTGTCCACAGGAAATCATGTTATTATGTCTGCAGCAAACGCCGCGTCTTTTGTGTGAGGTTCGAACATTGTGACTGCGAAATTGACAGCGACAATACGGAGCGCAAGTTCGTCCGCTTCTTTTGCAGGGAGTTGTTGTGACGTCAGAACGATGTCGAGCTCTAATTGGCTCTGATCGAGGGATAGCAGGTAGGCATGGTGGTCTACCCACTATTCTTCGATCAGAGCCAATCAGAGCTCGACGTCGTTCTGACGTCACAACAACTCCCTTCAAAAGAAGCGGACGAACTTGCGCTCCGCGTAGCAGGGCGT